GAAAATAAAACAACATACATGCTAATAAACTTAACCGAACTTAAATCAATTAACATGCTCGCAATTTAAACCAAATAACATGCTTGCAATGATTTAAAACCGATTACACATAATCACATAAAATCATACAAACACAAGCATGAAATCATAGCTTAAACTAAACCCTAAACGAAACTAGGGTTTCGTATATTTACCTCTTGACGCGTGAGGTAGGAGCGATTAGCACTTCGTGATTACTACGGAAACCAATCCGTAGAATCGGGGCAGCAGCGGTGCAACGGCAGCAGCGGCGCGTGAGGTCACGGCGGCGCGTGTAGTGTACGCGCGGCTTCGGGACGGCGCGTGGGGCAGCGTGCGGCTTCGGCTCGTGCGTTGCTCCTCGACTTTTCGATCTACAGTCTTCCTCCTCTCGGATTTCACCTCGTATACTTCGATCTACTAAATCGTGGCACTAGACACGAAGTAGTTAGAATAAAACGGAAGAAAAAGAAAGGAGAAAGAATACCGAACAAGGAACGGCCGACGAACGGCCGGTTCCGGCAACGGAGCGGCGACGGTGGTGCGGTGGTGGCCGCGCGGGAGAGAGGGCGAGAGAGAGAGGGTCGGCCGCTTTAGGGTTAGGGTTTCATGTGTTTGTGCAAGGCCTATAAGTCATGTATTTATAGTCCCTTGCATATAACCCTAGCGGGCTTAAGTTGGACTGGGCCCAACAGCTTAAGCTCGTTAGTTCCTTTACTTGCTCGTATCTCTCAATTCAATGACCGAAAAATTGCAACGATTACATTTTCGGAATCATTATAACTTCCTCGTCATTACGAGTGCCATCTCTTGTTTTCCAACTTTCCAAAAGTGGAAACCCTAGTTCAGTGGACTTTCTAAATTTGGAAACTTCTCGATTTAGAAAGTTCACTAACATGTTCGCCTATTCTTTTCCTTTTCTTATTCTCATTCGTAATTCCAAATTACGAATGTTGGATTCAATCATATTGACTTCCAATCATGCAAAGATAAACTATTTTATTTCTGACCGTTTATTCAAAGATCTCATGTGCACGAGCAGTGTGACCCTCGATGGTTCAGGTGTAAGCTAGCCGTGGGCCCACAACCCTTTGTGGTCAAAACTCGTCCCCTTCGAGTTACGATTAAGATGAAGCTCGTTTCACCTTAATCACCCAACGAATCAAGATTGGCGTCTAGCAACTACGCGTCATGATTCCCTAGATACAAATGAAGTGCCTGCAAGAACCTTCAGATATAGTTAACGTACAGTACGGTCCCTTCGATTCATATGTCCCGATCGAACTAGAGGCATTGGTTCATCGAGACCTCTTTATATGTTCGATGACGGTGCGATCGTTCCAAGTGTTGCAATCCTTTCGTGCATGACTTAGAGAATCGAATTCTCTAATCATCACTTAGTCAGCTCTGGCCAGAGACTTAGAATGATTACAAACTTTCAGAACACACAGGACATCCAAGACTATTCTAGCGATCGAATCCCCGACTACAATGCACAGACCTCCCACTAGATTTCGGACTGCACGAACACTGGCCCTTGGGATGGTCCTCGGTGGAACTCAGGGACAGGTCACGATACAGCTGGTCCTCTAGTGAAGTCACGGTGATGTCTAGGTCATAAGGACTAATGGTGTACAACTATACCATAGATATCTCTACTCGATTATTGGGAACCACTTAGAGATTTCTAGGGTGAGGGAGTTCAGTGAACTCGTCAACTTACGAGCACCCACTTATGCATGCCGATATCACAATACCGTTTACTGATGAGATGCAGTACACATACACTAAGTGCTAGTCTTAATGGGAAAGGCCGATATCCTCATTAGTGGCGTAACCCTTCGACTAGGAACACGTTTAACAGTTATAATACTTAAGTAAATATCTCACGATCCTAACGATCAATTACTGGTACTTGTAATAACTGTAAGGACTATATCTATGCTTGTGACAAAGGGACAAAGATATAGAATGCCAATGTGTTTTATCATTAATACGAATAAAGGTTTGTTTATTACAATAATAAATATGAAAGACCACAACCACAAGTTGGCTTGTTGGTCACCTACTCTAACAACTATACCATAGACATCTCTACTCGATTATTGGGAACCACTTAGAGATTTCTAGGGTGAGGGAGTTCAGTGAACTCGTCAACTTACGAGCACCCACTTATGCATGCCGATATCACAATACCGTTTACTGATGAGATGCAGTACACATACACTAAGTGCTAGTCTTAATGGGAAAGGCCGATATCCTCATTAGTGGCGTAACCCTTCGACTAGGAACATGTTTAACAGTTATAATACTTAAGTAAATATCTCACGATCCTAACGATCAATTACTAGTACTTGTAATAACTGTAAGGACTATATCTATGCTTGTGACAAAGGGACAAAGATATAGAATGCCAATGTGTTTTATCATTAATACGAATAAAGGTTCGTTTATTACAATAATAAATACGAAAGACCACAGCCACAGGTTGGCTTGTTGGTCACCTACTCTAACAATCTCCCACTTGACCTAAAGCCAACTACCCATAAACCGCAATCCCATCGACTCTCGATGTTTCTCATGGACCGATCTTGGTAAAGGCTTCGTGAAGGGGTCTGCAACGTTCTCTTCCGAGGTGACTCGTTCTACCTTAACTTCACCTCTATCAATGATTTCTCGGATCACGTGATACTTCCTCAGAATATGCTTCGACTTCTGATGAGATCGTGGCTCCTTAGCTTGCGCCACGGCTCCGGTGTTATCACAGTACAATGGTACTGGATCACTAGCATCAGGAATGACACCCAACTCTTGGATGAATTTCCTTATCCAAGTCCCTTCTTTTGCAGCTTCAGACGCTGCAATGTATTCCGCTTCGGTAGTGGAATCGGCCGTCGTGCTTTGCTTGGAACTCTTCCAACACACGGCACCACCATTAAGCGTGAATATAAATCCAGAATTCGACTTTGAGTCGTCCACGTCCGATTGAAAACTAGAGTCAGTGAAACCCTCTAATTTCAACTCGGCACCCCCATAGACCAAAAATATATCCTTAGTCCTTCGCAAGTACTTGAGGATATCTTTCACGGCTTTCTAGTGAGCCGGGCCGGGGTTAGACTGATATCTGCTTGTGACACTCACAACATACTCTAACAATGATGACGACGGTGGACGGAGGGCATCGACGGCGGTGGTGGACGGAGGGCAGCGACGGCGGTGGTGGACTGAGGGTGGCGATGGGCATATGAGATCTGGTTTGGAGTTGGAGATAGAAACGAGAGAGAGATAGTGGCTGCTGGAGAGAAAATGGAGATGAAGAAGAGAAATAGGGTTTGATGATTTTATATAATAATTAAGGGTAATATAGACACACCACTTAAAATTTTAATTTATATTAAATTAAAATATAAAATAAGGGGGTTTTCACTAATATGTAAAATGAGGTTATATCCATTCTAATATAGTCAAATGTATTGGGGGTTTTTCACTAATTATCCCCATTTTTTAATGAATTCACCGGCCTAATTATCCCCATTTTTTAATGAATTCACCGGCCAAAAGAAAGAAAACAAAAAATCAAAAATAGTCACTCAAACTGTATAGATAATTATTTGGGGTTACTTTCAACTTGCACCCCACAAATCTAAAATTGTCAAAATACCCCCTCAAATTTACATAACTTGGCAGAATGCACCTCACATCTCTCTTCTATGAGAGTTTTTGATTGAAAAAGGGGGGAGAATTTGTCTTAAATCACAAATTAACTTTGATTTTATTTTCAAGGGTTTAAATTTAAAGATTTGTCAAAGCTAATTTCTTCCAGGTAAACTAATTTCTTGTTCACATCTCTCATTCATTTTCAATATTCACCACTCTGGATTATTATTCCAATATGCAGGTTTGGAGAACACCACCTGTTTGTGAAAATGCCCCACTCAGAGTTGTGCAAGTATTTCTCTTACATTAAAAACAGAGCAATTGGTGCTTATAATGGCATCTCTTATTCTCCCTCATCAGCTTCTCTCTCATCTTTTTTTGTACAAAGTTACAGTTTTTTCTTATCTTCAATATAATCACGGAAAACATCCGGTGAATCGAATATGATCGAGAGTTCTCCTCAGGCCAAACTTGAGCACCGCCTGATTTCCTTCCCTAAAACCGTCTCCGTATGCTGTAGACGAATCCGATTCGATCTGGTGTTTGAAATACTCGCCGAGTTTTTTCTCGAATTCCGACCTTTTGCCCTTCTTCGAAGATCCAGACAATGCTGGAGCAGGGTCCGATGATGACGTGGCGGAAGAAGACGAAGACGATGACGGCGATGATGATGACGTGGCAGAACCAGCGTAAATCTCGGAATCCAACCACATATGAGCCAGCACTTGGCATATACCTTCTTCCACCTTCGGACTTAGAGTCGAATAACCTGAGAAGCAATTCGGATCGATAACTCGAGTTAGTCACGTAATTCGTACTCAAGGTCCGTTTCATATAAACTACCGCTTTAGCATTTTTTTTTTCATTTTTTTTAATCACCTTTAAGGCGAAGCCAAGCATGCATCATCTCATGAGCCAAAATCGATCCGGTCAATAACCTCGGAAGACCGTACAAAACAAGAATTGCTGTCACTTCACATTTCCGGACAAGCTTATAAGCCTCGGTGAACATGTCTATTATTCGATACCCTCCGATTCTCGGCTTCCTCGATACCTAGATTACATCATTTCAATCTCAATTAAGTTTTCAAATATATTCAGTTAAACCTCTATATATTAATACAGTTAGGACCAGCCAAATTCTATTAATTCAGCGAAATATTAATTTATCGAATTTTTTTTACAGCATGTTGTCCTCGAGACAGGACAGGATAAAAATATTATTTAAACGAGGTTATTAATTTATCGAGAGTATATATATATATATATATATATATATATATATATATATATATATATATATATATATATATATATATATATATAGCCCTCTTGTCTCAGGCATGTGGTGATGACCCTGGCCCACAAAATAAACATGGTACATTTAACTTCATCATAGGTTATAAGTTTATCTAATAAAGCATAATTTTTTTTTAAATAAATTAATAAAAAAAAAAAAAAAAAAAAAAAAAAAACCTTTTTTTCTTCTTCCATGGCTTCATTTAGAGCTTCTCGCTCGACCAATAGTAACGGAATTTGTTGCTCGACTTTCATGTTTAAGCCCTCGTAAAATTCTTGTATCTCGAGGTAAAGAGGCTGGCATTCGTGTGTGTCCATTATCGAAGAGTCCAGACACTCGAGACATAACTTTCTTCCGTCTTCGAGGATCAAATATTTTGTATCTATCGCCTTCATGCATTAGAACATTTTTTTTGTTATATAAACTTTTTTAATTAATTTTTGCAATGGTTTTTTTTTTTAATCAAGTAACTGACCTCCATTCTTTCGCAGCTGCAACAACGAGGCGTACCGTCATGCTCGTGTGACGGACAGTACTTCTGCGGCCAAAACGGATGCGCTCTGTACTCGATTAAGCCAGCACCGTTTGTTGGAATCTAGTGTATTTTTTTTTAATTTAATTCAATCATTATTCTGTAATAATTTATGTTTTGCTTCGATGGGAATTAAATTAGGCGCTTACGCGATGCTTGCAGACGTCGCATTTGGGGTGGTGCAGGTACTTGTAGCACGATTTATGGTACGGACGATTATCAGATATCGAAAACTGAAACAGAATTCGAGAAAAAGACGACTGGTAAGAATTAATCAAGAAAGCAGAATCGGATAAGATAAGATAATCCTTAATCACCTCGTAATCAGAAATCGGCTGATTACACGCATGACAACGAAAACATTCCGGATGCCAAACAGCTCCTAAGGAACTCAAATAATTCCCACTGTCGATTCCGCTATGGCAACCAGCACAAGTTCTACAATCGAAAAAACCCCGTAAAGATAATATTGTCGATTATTGTATCACATAGGATTGATTAATTACCTGTATCCAGAAGGGTTGTAGAATGGATTATAAGATGGAAAAGAACTTATATAATCGTATGGAGATGATCGAGGCGGAGACTTCACATTCAAGCTTTCTTCAAGTGCCTTAGCAAGCTTCTCGTCTTCTTCCAATCGAGACTCGTCGTCTGATAATTAATCAGGATTAGATGGATTAAATTATCCGGCAAAGCTAATGAGAAAGATATCACAATTCATTTATATATACCTATTACTTTCTTTCCTTTATCGTCTTCTTCGGCTATGGAAATTGCGATTGCTCGGTCTATTTCTTCTTTATCGAAATCTGATGATGTGTCCTATACATACATAATACTTTGTAAATATCACACACACATACACACGTATATATATAGCAGACGGTATTGATTACTACCGAAAAACGAGCTTTTTCGGGAGTAGTTTCGTCTTGATGATGTTTCAAATGACATTGGCATTCCGGGCTTTTGGAACCTTTGAGAATTTTTGTTAGCCAACCCATATTGAATGTTTATATATGCTTCCGGGTCGGCCCGTATATCCCGGAGACCGAAAAGTTGAAGAATGAGCTGAATTTCAAGGAATCTGATTGAAGCCAAAAATCATTTGTTGTACACACCTGAAAAATCAAGACACATCAAATCAATTTCTACTTATATATTTGTTTTGATTGACTAAATAAAGTAGAAGAACATCCTAGTTGAAACAAAGAACAACATGTACTATAAATTTGATGTAAGAATTATTACTAGCAAACTTTCCTCATAAAATTATACAGATAATCAATCTGCAAAAGGGATTTTTCAGTTTGAAGATTTTGTGAACTTATATATGGGGGTGGGGGTGGTTTAGACATTTTGCATCTAGTACCACTTTTCCACCATTAGTCCACTAAATGTCAAAAAAAACCCCATAATTTTTAACCTTAGCAATTGACAAATAACAAAAAGGGTATCTTTTGGTTCTTTTCTTAGAAAGGGGTTTGAGTATAAATTTTGTACATGCAAAATACAGCCAATTCTTTTATTATTTTTTATTTTTATTTTTAATGTTTTCTTGACTTTTGATTAATATACTTCTATGATTGCATTTCATTTTCATATATGTTCTAGAATTCTACATTTTCTTGAATTATTTGATTTTACATCACAAAACTCGGTTTGTCGACTGCAAGATCAATCATGATTAATTAAATAAACGAGTCTTTTTGATATTTGATTAGTCTAATAACTCTTCCAGTCGACTGTAGTTGTGGAAAAAAACTGAAGAATTGTCCATTTCTAATTCGAGAATTGTGCTAGTTCGATTATAGAGTTTAATTTTCATAAGATGCGATTATATAATCTTATCTCGACTAATTCCATTTCTACAACTAAATGAGGCTCAAGGCTAATGGACACTATTATTTTATTTTTTTTCTTTTGGATTATTTGAGAAGCATGTACAAAAAAGTCAAGTGATGATAATTGAATCATAATGTGTGAGTTATACCAACCACTGATTTAATGATAAACGGTTGTATTAATTTGGTCCATCCAAAAAATTAGACCTCAACAATAATTGTTCTACCAAGCTCACATAGGATAACATATAGTAACATAGAAATGTACTAAATATATTTTAAACAGTTGACAAAATCTTACGTCAGATAAATTGTTTTAAGAGTTGATAAGTTATTATGTGTTATTTTTAAAATTAATTTTTAAATTATTTGGATAATTAGCTTATAAGCTATTTTTATTCGGGATAATTAGCAAGAACCCCCATCTAGGAAAATGAATTAAGGAAACACCCCCTCTAAAAAATAATTAGATAAAACCCCCTTACCTAATATTCCATCCACATATTATTTCATAATTCCAAATCTACCCTTAATTATCCAATATACTCTTTCAAAACCCTAATTATGTTTTACGCCGTTTTTTTTTCTTTCTTTTTCTCTTATCCTCTCTTCCCACTCTCATCTCTTTCTCTCTCTCTTTTTCCTTCTCTACATGATCTGATCTGAATGTATGGTGGCGGTCCGACTATGGGACGATGGTAGAAGGCTGCGCCGAGGCGGCGCGGGTGGAGGTTTGGCGATTGGAGCTTCGAGGGGAGTCTCCGATCCACACCGGAGGAGATGCGCACGTTCGTCTATTTCTAAGATTTACTTTTTATTTATGGTTTCGATTTTCTGGAGTAGTGTTTGTTTCCTTTGTTTTTTGTTTGAGATTTGAAAATTGAAGATCGGGAATCTAATTGCAGATAAAAATCTCAGAGTTGTACGGGGCTGCAAAACACGTACTCAATGTATTTTTGTTTCATTCTACTTATTTGTTATGGATTTTTAATCTAATTTTGCTGCATATTTTTTGATATAGGTGGGTTTGTTTTGTTGATTTTGACCGTAGTACATGGTTCTGTTTTGATTGTTTGTATAAAAAACTGTTAGAATACGGAAGTGGGGTGGTGATGGTGTGGTGTGGCGACGACGTGGTGACGATGAAGAGCAGATCTAGGGTTTTTTGGTGAATTGCGGCGGAAGACGGCGCATAAAAAGAAATTCGCGCAGACAGGCCCTTAATCGACTACGTGTGGTTTAATCGACTATGTTCATTAGTCAATTAAGGTTTAATCGACTATGTTCAGTAGTCGATTAAGGTTAACCGACTCCAGTTGTTATTTATTTATTTTTTATTTATTTTTTGTTTATTGATTCCAATGTATAAATCAATTATAATGTTTGTATATTTTTTTTAAAATATAGTTGATTTTGCATTTTTTTTTTTGTAATTGTGATTTGTTATTTTAACAGTTAAGTTTTTAATCGACTATGCATTAATAAATTTGATAGAGAAAAAAAATTAAAAAAAAAAAAAAAATTAAAAAAAATAGAAAAAATAAAAAAATAAAAAATTATAGAATTTCCTTAATCGACTATGCTTCATAGTCGATTAAGGAAACTGATACAAAAAGAAGGGGAAAAAAATTAGGGAAAAAAAAAACGCTGAGCGCGTGACCCAGCTGTGATGATGTGGCGGGTGGGGGCAAAGCTGAAAAACATAATGGCTCAAAATGGGTGTGGGCTTTTCTCAAATGGACTGAAATATTTTGGACCTCTCTCCATTAAAAAAAGTAACGAGTGGGTTTCCTCAAAGAGCCCCTTTTTATTCATTGTAAAATTTTAAATAAGAATTAAGAAGGTGTATTTATCCATACTTCCCCTTGTAATAGACTTAAATTTACTCCAAAAAAAAATTATAAGTTCTTAAACATCCTATAAACTTTTTTTAACATCTTATAAACTTAGTTAAAAACCCTCTAAAATATTATCTACACAGATCCAGAAATCCACATAAGAGATTGTAAGTACATTTATGATAATATGTTACCCGATATACTTCAACCAATATAGCATTTACATTACCCTTTTTTATCACGTTATAAGATCATAATACCGTTTCCCGCGCGATTGGTGCAAGTGAATCAACGTCAATTGATTCAGATTCGAATCCCCTTTGTCGACGGTCGCTAAGTAAATCTTATCACACATGGTTAACCTAGTGTAATTTACGTATTTCATATGATTTGCAAACTAATATCGTCGCGAATTGTTTCTTTCTTTTCCCTCATATCTTACTCAAAGATACCACCACACCGCTACTAGCTTGAAAACCAATTGATCGGTTCTCATTAATGATAGTAAGTTATACGTAAAATTGGCTTCAATATTAATTAATCACATTACTAATTAGATTTAATTATAAAGTTAGATGAATATTGGTTGTGTTTTGAGTTTCGTTGTTGATTATTCACGCTTCGGTGTTATGTAATTTGTTTTTGTAGAAATATCTTATCTTTTAATTTTTAGGAGAACAAAATAATATCATGTTTGATTGTCAATATAAGATTAGTTAGTAGAAACTTAATTATTTTATCAGATTTCGTGGTCGTTCAACAAAAAAATTCTCAGAAAAATAAAATAAGACATGATAACATAATATTTGCAGATCGATCCGATAAACAAAGTTCCATTATTTTAGTTAACTATGATGGGTTTTTCCAACCAAACGAGGCTAAGAAGATGAAGAAAATAATTAAATAATTAATTAAAAAAATACTAGGATTTGGTGTCATGTGTTGTCATGGCTGGCTGCACGTGCCGTTGTGAGCTTCACATTTGAATATTTTTCAGATCCTAATTTATTGTGCACTCAAACAATTTGCCCATTTGCTAGTATTAAATATCAATTTGATTAAGTGTTGTGAGTTTTCTCTTCTTCTATATTTGATGTGTTTTATGCATGAAAAAAGTATTTCATTTCAGTATTTTCACTAAATAAATAAAATTAAAATATATTTTAGAATTTTCAAATAGTAAAAGAAAAATAAAAATATAAAGGGGGAGAAATGAAGAAAAATAAATTGAGCAGGACTGAGTAATGAATGTATGAAATATTATACTGTTTGGGGCCTAAATAAAACGATAAATTATGAAAACCACCCTGAACTTATGCTACATTACCAAAAATGCCCACGCCTATTCATAATTACTGAAGTCCCCCTAATATTTGTTTCGGTCTTATACCGACCCCCTTACGGTGTAGTTTTCACGGAACCTCTTTGATTCTAAGAAATATTCATTGAAAATGTCAATTCTACCCCTATAAACGTGACATTTTCTGATGTTACTTTTAGAAGACAAAAATTACAGTAGAGAATCTTTACAACGGGGTCTTTATTTTTCTGAAATAACAAATTCACATTTTTTTTAGTATTATCATTACTATGTGAGGGTAATTTTTGTCTTTAAAAATAGCATAAAGAAACGACATGTCTGCAAAGGTGTAATTGATATTTTTCGAAAACATATTCCTTGAAATTAAAAAAGATTCTATAAACAATCACACCGTAAGGGGGTCGGTGTAAGACGGAAACAAACGTCAGGAGAATTTTAGTAATTACGAATAGGTGGGGGAGTTTTTATAATTTAGTCTAAGTTTAGGGAGTTTTTGTAATTTACCCAACTTCAAAATATCAGTGGTACAAGTTTTTTCACAAGACAATGGAGTGAGAGCTAATACTTTACAACCAGAAACACATCCCACTAAATCAAATCAAAATCCAGAAATTCTACACACTTCTCTGAATTAAGAACACTAACAAATCACACTCCATAAAAAAAATACAAAAAAAAAAAAATTACAAAAAAATAAAAACCACTAATTCTTGAACAGAAAAAATAAATTTTCACATCAATCACAATCCAACACACCCTCAACTCCTCCAACCCCCGACCCCACCGGAATATCCCCTTGCCGGAATATTCCCATTTCTCCGGCGGCACCAAACGGCCTAACAAAAGTCCTCCTCCACCACACCTCAAACGCCCCTCGAAGATTCGGACAATCGTCCCCGGCCCTCAAAAAACTCCCCAACCAAGAAATCAAAACACTCCGTTGATCCTCCAACGGCAAAGTCAATATCGTCCGTCCGATCCCTTCCTCCACAACTTTCCGATCGAACGGTCCACATCCATGCTGCAGCCACCTGTAATCCTCGATCAACGCCTCCAACCAAATCTTGATCAACAAATAACGCGTCTCCTTATTCGGAAGAATCTCCCCTCTCCCTATCCCAACAAACAGCCTCGCCGTAATCACGCTGATGTGGCGCCTGGAAACTACCGGAAGCTTCTTGTGGATCGATGCCAATTCTTGCTGACTCACCCAAATCACCGCAAACTCGTCCGCCGCTTGTCTATCTAATAGAATATCGAGCAACCATAGTAGATTATCCGCCTCCAGCGCTATCGGTTTTTCCAACAATTTTATTTTTTCGACTTCTTGATCGGCTTGTCTGAAAAACGACAGCAAAGAATCTAGAGAGATCCTGCACGAACTATATATAGTTTCACTACACGAGTCCGATGAGGTTGAAGAAGTACTAGGAAGATTATTATTGTTATTATTTTCTCGGAGGAGTTTAAGTACGATGGATTTCATTTCGCGCCGGGCTTTTTCGTCTTTGCTCTTGAGGACTAACTCGAGTATGTGGGAGAATGTGTCGTTGGGCGGGTTCGAAGAAATATCGGGGGAGACCCTTTTTAGGACCGGTTTGACTTTTATGCCCTCGCCTTCGAGATGTGAGACGAGAGAAACTACTTTATCCTCTTCGTCTTCACCTACCCACGGGACTGCTTCCAAGTACTCCAAGCACGATTGGACGCACCTCGTGAAACCAAGTTGTTCGCCAGCCTGTAATGTAAGGAAATTTACTCGAGTATTATAGCACATGTTTTGCATATAATTTCTACAAATGGGAGTTTATTGCATTTAGTACACCTGTATTTTATCAAATTGCTGAAAAACTCCCCGTGTTGTTAATATTAGCAAACACCCCCCTATGATGTATTTTTTTGAGCATACAACCCTCTAAATGGTGAGGTTTTAGGGGGTAGTTTGCTTAAACATATGAACTGTAGGGGGGTATCTGCTAATTTTAATAAAATGGGGAGTTTTTCTAAATTTTGATCCTATTCAAGATTTCAGACAAGGGAAATCAAGAACTTATTAAAAATAAAATCTTGATAAATCTATTCGAATCAAGACTAAAACTGATCAAAGTGGTACACTATCTTAAAAACTATTGCAGATCATCGATACGCCAAATAATATCCGTACTTTCATAAAAACGAAGCGTGGTTCAGTTAATTACCTTGAGGATTCGAAGCACGCGCGAAACGCTCTGCTTGATCAACCGTTGCTTCAATTCCTTACAATACATTAGTCCAATAGTTTCCACATATATCTCAACATCCTCGCAGTTGTCTATTTCAAGACAAGGGAAAATCGGCTGTTGCCCCGATATTTTGCGAGCGAAAAAATCGCTGTTCTCCACCAACACACTCCTATGAACACTCAACTTCACAGCCAATCCCTGCTTCCCGAGCAAAATGACCTTCAGATCACTCGTTTTAGCTTCGCCAAACTCGATCGACACCTTTCTAGGGGGGGCGTTTTCGGGTTTCGATCGAGGTTGCTTCTCGTTTGTCAACGGTGGATTAACAACCGGTTCATCGGAAGAGTGGGTTCTTTGCTCAGGGGTAAGACTGTCTGTTCTAGATGAGGTGGAATTAGAACTAGGCTTTTTTTCGGTGGTAACCGGGGTTTGTTTTTTCTCAACTAGAGTGGTTTGTGTAGGAAGAGATGATTTGGGCTTGCTTAATATAGGGTTTTGCTGTGTTTTGATTGTCTTGTGGAAGACAGTGGGTGAAGGGCAACACCAGAATCCTTCTGGTGTTACAGCAATTGGGACAGTCTTGAATTTTGTTTGCCCCTGTTCTAATCTTGAAACCCTAATTTCAGCCATTTTTTTCAAGAAAGATCCAAACTTTAATTTCAAAAAAAAAAAAAAAAAAAAACCCCTTTTCTGGTTTGCAGACAAAGATGTCTAAATTAAAATCAGAAACCTATTTTCTCCCATGAACAGTATAATCACTCAGCAACTCATCAAAATTCAAATACAGCAAACCAGAAAATGCCCTGTGGCAGAACCGTAATTTCAGACACAAATTTGCCTTCTTTCCAATCTGGAGAAAACAGCTAACAGCTAACAAATTTCTGCAAAGGAAGGAAAAAACAAAGGGAACCCTTTAGATTAAAGATGTAGAAGATCAAAAAAGAAGCATAAAGACAGGATTTTTAATTACCAATATATCCGAGGAAGTTTCTTGAAACCTGCGACGAAAAGAGCATGATTTTCAAGAACGAGGAACAACCTAAATCTTGAAATTTATGAGTGAGAGGGTATGAAAATGATTGAAGGAGAGCTTTGATGTCAAGCATGAGGGGAACCGGATCAACAAAGCAACACTTGAAACAGAGTGGAATGATGGTGTTAGTGTATATATTTTCCCTCTTTTGCAATTAAATTAATTAAAGAAATCTAGTGTGATGAGAGAGAAAGTGAAGAGAGAGAGAGAGAGGGATTTGGTGGTTTTGGTAAATTAGTTAATCCAGAATTAAAGATTGGTTTTTCTTGATTTTTAATATAAAAATCAATTTTCTGGGTGTGGGAGTTAGTTTCTCTCTCACACACTACACATTACACACACAGTGACAAGGAGAGACAAGCATGGCAAGTGCAGTGGGGGGGCTGTCAGCTCTCGATCTTGTATTCTTGTTCCTGCTTGCTTTTCTCTTTCACACACTACACACACTAACTGTGTCTGGTAATTTGTTTATTTTAAATTCAAAAAAGAAAACAAGAAAAAAAGAAAAAAGAAAAATTGGTGTCGTTGCAGAAGGGAATCTCTTTCGCTTAAAGACAACGTAGATATTAAGGCAAGTTTCTGCAACTGGATTTTACCGGAATACCCACGCTCGTGTTTAATCACTACAAAAATGGTTTAATCCCACTTTGCACCCTTAAAATATAATATTTTGACACTTTGCACTCTCGAAATAAATTAATAACACTTTGCATCCTCGAAACACAATGAATCATGCACAATGCACTGCGGATAGATTATTTAAGCTAATGAAAGTGATTTATTTTTTTAGTGGTATTTTCTATGGTGGCAAAATATTAAATGATTTTTTTTATATTCGTCAATGATTTCGAAACTAAAATTTACAAAAATAATAATGCATCCCATCAAGATGTTTAAGAATTATATTTTTTTATCACAAAAAAATATTTTACCCAAAAAAAAAAGGGTTCATGTATTGGCTTTTATCAAGTTATTGAAAACTATATATAAAAGATTATTTTAGTTTTTCTATTTAAAAAAAATGAATAAAAAAATTCCCTCGTTAAGTTTAAAAAAAATTCAATTTATGGTGCATTGTGAATGATTTATTATATTTTAAGGGTGCTAAGTACTATCAATTATTTTTGAGGATGTAAAGTGCTAAAATACTACATTTCAAGGGTGCAAAGTGAAATTAAACCCTAAAAAAATCAAATCTAAATTTCATTATAGTGCATCAAATTGGCTTAATGATTTAACTAGTTAATAACATTAGACTAAATAGCGTTTCCAATTAGGGTTATACATGGATCGGTTTTATCGGTCAATCAATCTACTTTCGAGCCACTTTTCTTATCCGATAACTGATAATTAACTCGTCCATATTGTCGAGTCAATAATTTTAACCGTCAATGATTTTCACTTTACTCAAAAGTCGGTTGGTCGGTAATATCGGTCAACCGACGTTTTTAATATAAAATTTTATTGTAAATATACAATTATAATTTTTATTTTCTTAATGTTAAAATAATATATAAAAGAAGTCAAAACTCAAATTTATAAATTGCAACGCATATTTCTATTTTATAATTCATATTCTTCATTATACATTTACTTCTAGCAAAAGTTTAATCAAAAAAATCGTAATTAATGTTCATATTTTTGCAACATATCTTTTCCAAAATTTTGAATATCTTCTTAAAAAATATTTAAAAACGTCTTATTATTGTAAAAAAAAAATTAATAAATAAATTGACGGATAATACCAACCAACTTAACTCATTGTTTACCCGATAAAGTCGGTTGTCAACTCCTATATTACCCATAATAGTCAAGTCGATAATGATTTTCAATATTAATTGGCCGATAATTCTTCGACCCGACTTATTCGCAAGTCGCAACCTTGTTTCCAAGGTCCCAATAAAGCTCAGTAAGCTCACTAAATAATCACAAAAGCAATTAAAGTGAGGTTGTTGGGAGTAGACAATTGTCATTGAATGTTTCTTAAATTCCTTTTTGACAATTTATCTTCTTTTTGTGGAATTATTAATCATTTTAGGACATGAACAATGGGGTTACTTGCAATTATATATCTTTGAAAGTGACACGTTCAAATGATGAAGGTGCCAAAATAAATAACTATAAATAATAAAATAAATAAATAAAAGTAAAAAAGAAAAAGAAAAAGAAAAAAAGCAGCACGAATTAATCATCACTAATTGATCTTTTACTATGAAAAGAATTCAATGTGTGAGATGGCATATTGATGTATTATTTGTCCCCACAATTCATCCTTTTCACGTGCTCCATCTAAATTATGCATAGTATCTAATTTCATATTCGGGTAAATTACGGTAATCTCCCTGAGATAAGATCAAATTACGAAAAAATCATTCATATTAGGTAATTACAATCACCTCTTTCAACTATGAATCTTCTTAGGCATACACCCATTGAGGTGTCAAATTTAGTGGATTTCTATAGATAATGTGAAATATTCTTCAGTTTGTACCCGTTTTACTATATTCGAACTCCACATTTTGAAACAAAATAATCACAAGATGTATCTCTAAGCTTGTAAATATCTGATAAGTGCATCATAAACTGCATTTTTTAACAAAACGAGTACAAATTAGAGAAAATTCCTCGGAATACAGAAGGTTATGTTGGAGGAACGTGTAAGACGATCCATAGTCGATAGTGATTGTGATTACCCAGATATGAGGAATTTATTCGTAATTTGACATTACCTCATGTGGTCGTAATTTATCCTATATTATTTATAGATTCATGTTGCATCCAATTGAAAAAAAGGGATTAATTAATCGTTATTTTACGCAATTAATCATAATTATAGATTAATGTTTGAGCTTAGTAACATGAGTATGATATATACTAGGGATAATATGCTGCAAGTCCCTCATACGAAACCTTATTAGATGTGGGTTACGGGCCCAATATTTTCCTTGTAACTAAATCCCTAGATTCTAAAAATATAAGATATAAGGGATTTATTTTTTAAATATCCCAGTAATACCCTTAGATATAACCGGACGTTTATGTAGAGTTATTAAACGTTATGTCCATTTAATAAATCACGTCCCTTGAAGTTAGGAATTATGTTTCAATCACGTTCTATCGTGATAGTAACTGTATCTTTATGAATCTCATTAAATATACTGCACGATGTGAAAAAGAATTCATACAAATCAATACAGTTGTAATCTGCGAAGATTTCTTTCATAGCAATACACAGTTGAATCTGCTAATCTTGACTGCAGACAATCGAGAGTGTTCGTTGTTCTGCTTTTTTCAAGAAGGTATTTTCTTCGTCATTGATATCATTGTTTGTTCGCGTCTTTGTTGGTATGTTCAATTTTTTTTTATCGTTCTTTGTCTTTGCGACATCCACTTATGGTGTTGAAAATTAAATTTTGAGTCGAAAAAACGATTTAGTAAAATATTGTAGTATCCTTTTTCATCGTTGTTCCGGAAGTCTATGGTGGCTCAGTTTAATAAATGTAAGTTGAGTATTATTTACATATCTAACTAGTTGGAGTTGTTTAATGGTGTTGTGTTGTTCATAACAATATAGTGTAAATGTTTATTATATATTTATTCGTGTTTTTTTTGAAAAGGTGCTTATGCTGCTACACGTGCTGAGTTTGATATTAGCATGGAGAACTTTCGAAAAAATGGAGGTCCGAGGGTGAATAATTTCTTGGTTGATCTGCCATATGAAAACTGGGCTTGTTCACATTTTATTGGTCAGAGATTTGGTGAGATGACTTCAAATTTAGCAGAGTCTTGGAATTCGCAGATTAGCAAATATCGTGGGTTACCAATTACGGAGATGATAGATGCCATTAGGAGCTTGTTGATGCTGCAGATGTGCTTGAGGTATGATACGGCGGTGCCTTGGCACACTGAGTTGTGTCCTCTGGCAGAAGAACGTTATGGTGCATTGGTGCAGGAAGGTAGGACATGGTTGCCTAGGAAAGCATCTGAATCGGTGTACGAGGTATTGAGCGAACCTGTTGCCGTGGTTGACTTATTGAACAGATCCTGCTCATGCCGAATGTGGCAAATTTCCGGCTTCCCATGTGCTCATGTTGCTTGCGTTTTAAACAAAGCGAACACGGATGGATACAATTACGTGGACGACTACTTTCATGTTTGGTCGTACAGACAAAGTTATGCTAAAGCTATTTTTCCATTTGCTAGGCCTATTGCGGATCCGCCGTTGGCTGTGATTGGGCCACCTGAGTTCCAGCCTAAACGTGGTAGACCAAAGACGAAAAGAATTGCATCTAGGGGTGAGAGCGTAGCGAGGAGGATGAGGTGTAGTCGATGCAACCAGGTTGGATCCCACAACAAAAAGACGTGCACGAGGGCTATTCAGTAGTTTGTTCTGAGTTTTGTTCTGGATGTTTCAAGTTTGCATTGAGTTATAGACTTGTTTTCTTTTTTTTATGTTTCTTTCATGGATTTATGTTGGGTGAAGGTTTGCGTTGTTGCAGTAGTTTTTTTTTTTTTTTTTTTTTTTTTCTGATGAATGTTTGTCTTTTTACTGCATGGACTTATGTTTTCTTACTGTTCTGAGTTATATATTTGTTTTTAGAGTATTTTATGTTTAGTTAATTATATGAGTTCATGTTTGAGCAATTCCTTATTTCAGTTACCATAACATAGAAAAATGTCGTGCAGCCAGTGTTGGTGCATTTTATCACGTAGTGCGGGTATCTTAATTTGGTGTAGTGATGTATAATATCATAAAGAAAGTTGTGGTATTTTAGAAGTATATATGAGGACTCATATTTGACATCATTACAATTTGTACACTTATGTCGAATTTGTTTGTCAAAACCTTACAAATATTTCGCATCACTGAATGAACAAAACTCAAATAATGTCTCTGAATTAATTTCATGGTGTTATGTGTTGTGAGATATGTATCATTGTTCGTATTGTAACCTTTATTGATGGATTTACGCGATGTTTCATTTTCAACAAATTGCATTATTGAATCTGCCTCAAGTTATTCATGCATTATGTGTTTGTAAATGATATGTTGCTTGTGAAAATATGTGGGCTGTCATTTAGCGCGATCCACCGATTTTCATTAGTATTCCATAGTTTACCATAGAAGAATGTAGTATGGTTTGCACTACGGTGTTCTGACATTTTTATGGTATTCCTTTACACTACTATACAATATTAACAAAGATAGTTTCAAAAAGGCATATATAGATAACATACTGTGTCTGTGAACAACAGATTGTTTTGAGTACTTCAACACAGTTAAAGCTAGGGCAGAAAAACATAAATACTACATAAGTTTCGTTTTGTACAGTAGACATATAAAAAGAGACTATTTATGGCTACTTGATTTTGTAATTCAGAAGATGCACTACAATGTCCTTTCTCATTTCTGCGACACCCTCCTCTGCTTCTTTGACCTCTAATGGCATTTGAAGAAAATATTCTCTAATTATGTATAGAACGATCACACCACAATCGGTGGAACCAGCTTTCTGTTGGGGACTGAGTTCAACTTTTAATGGTTGGCCAATTGGAATGCGTGATAATCCCATGACTAGAGCAGTTTCTTCGACATATGTTTTCTGTATGGTAAAAATAGAATGTAAATACATTTAATTGTTAAGTGAACATGTTTAAGTTAATAAGGTTTGGGATACGATTATACCATGTCGTTGGCGTCATTGATGTAGACGTCGGATGTTGCAGCTGTTCGCGGAGTTGATGAATTGTAGTACTTCCATTCATTGCTTTTCATGTCTACGACAAGGAGAGTCCAGTGGTTGTACCTTGCACTAGGGTTTGTCTCTGAGTGAAGCGGGAATATGAGATAACGGTGCTGAGCAACAATTTCTTTCGTCAACACATTTTCAGCATTACCCTTCCTCACATCTGACTGAATGTACATAACATTTATTGTGCATCAAAGACTATTAAACAACATAAACGGGAAGTTTTCTATTGTTAAACTAATTCTTACCAGTAGCATGCTTGGGAACACAAAGCTAGTTCCATCTAATCCGGTTACATTTTCAATTGTTGCGGTGTTATAACAACCGTCTGTTTGCAGTTGCCGCAAAACCATAGAATATATTAGATGCACATAGTATACTACAAAGTTACATGTACTATGTAACGATTCAAACATCCAAAATCTTTAGCAGTGATCAGTTAAACATGGAATTGTATATCATATAATTGCAATACTCTGATATACTACTTACAGAATACCATAGAAACTATGAGACAATACACTCTATGCACTTGTAGTAGGCCATAGAAACACAGATTCAAATAGCAATAGAAGTCTAAATACGAATCATTAGCAACTACATTACGAACAATGTTACTGTCACATAAAAAAAACATCCAACGGAAGGGAAGCACCTTTTCTCAAAACTTCATTGACAGTTGTACAACTTTTATTTTTCATAGTAATGAAGCGTAATTCTGCAGATAACCATAGACATACGCAGATAACCATAGACAAACTCAGAGCTTTGTACACCAACCACCGTGATATCACACAAATCGGCCCTACATGACTATATGACGACACCCAGGAGTCCTGAAACATATTAGAACACATATTGCGATTTACCCAACAACGGGGGGAACCTTTTGTCCGAAAAAAGAAAAACAATTTCCCATCAAAGTTTTAATCAGTCGACTCCATGAGTTTTTGGTTGAATACATAGAAACCCACAGAATTACGAAACACGACATCAACAGAATATTCATGAGTTGAATCGTACCAGGGTCTAGGGCAGTTATGTCTTTTTTCCGCTTCGTACGCATCTCCCCTGTTCGTTCAATATGTTAAAAATCCAAAAAATAACAAAATTACAACAAAATCAAGAAACATTAAAACTTACTTGATCGATTTCTTGAGGTAGACATTGGTAGACCTGACTTGCGCCTACTCTGTTGGAAGCACTGGTGGTACTCGTGCACGATTTGCAGATTAACAGGAAAGGGAAAAAAAACCCTAATATGTAGACGATGGGGCGATTTGGGGGGATAGTGGGTTGGTTTTGTTACGGTTAATTGGGATTTTGGAAAATATAATCTCACAGAATACTAGTGGCGGGATTGGTGGGATTAGTTTTTTTTTTCCAAAATTAAAAATAAACGGCGTTATTTTCTCCGTAAGGGTACTATGGTCAGTATTTCACAAAAGGATGTTTGTCTAATGTTTTTGTAGAGTTGGGTGTTTCATCTAATAACTGATCCCACTAGGGATGCATATCTTAAAGCCCCTATATACTAATATTGTTACCAAATTGCAAATATAATAATATTTTTGTGGTGAGTATCTAAAATATAATAATCCTTTTGAATCTGCAAATTACAATCTCCATGGTAGGTCAAAACTCAACAACCAAACAGCCCCCATTTTCCATGGAAATAATAACCATTTATTTTCACAAATTAAATTAAAATTAAATCAATACACAAAAAATGGGTGACGTCAGCAAAAAGAATTCATTACCACTGGTAATTTGCTGTCTGTTAATGGCTGCGCTCTTTGCTGTATCAGCTTCTTTCCAGTTCAACGACCCAGGTAGTTATATAAACTTCAAGATCAAATTTTTTTTTTTTTTTTTTTTTTTTGAGATCGAAATCCGACGTCGTTTCGTGAATCGTTTTGTTTTGGTGTTTGAAAAAAAAAAGATTGGTATTTCTGGATTCCTCTATACGCCACTGCTTCCATAGTCAACCTGGTCAACTCGGTTGAAGAAGCACCAAATTCAAGAACCAGAAGAATGGCGAAATTCGCGTTACTGCTAGGGTTATCACTGTTTATCAAGGTCGGAATCGAGGGTTTTGTTCGTGGGATTAATGGGTTTTGGTCGCTAGATTTGCGGGATAGGATTGCGAGGGAGAAATTTGGAAGCGGGCTCGTGATTATCTCCATGTTTTTGTTCTTGGAGAACTCGTCCGACCCGACTCGTCGTCTTTACCCGACCCGAATCGCTAAATACGGTATTATTTTCAATTTCTTTGAGGTTGTCTGAATTACTCCATTTGTAAATTAATACAGTCGGGACCGATAAAATCTTATTAATTTAGTAGAATATTAAGTCATTGAAATAATAATTTAATACGTTTTTACCGAATCAAGACCGTAAAAGATTATTATTTAATCGGTTACTAACTTATCGAGTTTCTACTATATATTAAAATTTCTGAAATGTTAAATCTCGTTTCAATTTTACTAATGTCGTTTTGACTTCGAACCTGATTTTGACATATTTCTATTTTGATTTTGGCAAAATTCGAAATACGAAAACTGTAGCTCTTTGGGTTAGTTTTCTAATTCAACTTAAATCCGCTAGATTGGATGTCGTGTGACAAAGTTATGCATCAAATGAGTCACATTTTGAATTTTAGATACCTCAATATATCAAAGTTGTGAGCAGTATCTAATGATTCATGTATATCTTTCTCGTCCGACATCCAATTTTGGTGATTCAAGTTGGATTAGAAAACTAACTCAAAATACTACAAATCTTATTTTTCGGGTTTTGCAAAATTTGAAATATAAAATAATCAAAATCACGTTTGAAGTCGAAACAGTATTATTAAAGCTCGAACAACATTTATCACATCCCTATTAATTTCTTTCTCCAATTTTGTTGTGTTGTTTTCCAACAGGGATGCCGATTCTGGTGGGCGTTGCGTATGGCATCAGTTTCTTTTTCTTTGCATTTCAACACAATGAAATGAGATTTTGATCACATTTGTCACAAGGCTGTGTTTGGCTCCAATTTGGGACTTATTTTCATTTTATTTTTGGAGAATAAATTCTTAAATATGGTATTTTTTTCGTTTATATTTTGTATTTTGAGTAGAGACGATCGAAAATAAAATGTAGAGATGTGGATAAAAGTGTACGGTAAATTACGGTCATATACCGAGATAAGGTCAAATTACAAAAAGATCCCTCTTATTTGGGTAATTACAATCACCATTAGTTGTAAGCAATGTTCTAAAAATCGGCAGAGGCGGCCGATTAATCGGTCTCCGAGACGTAGGCGGTCTAAAACCTTTACGATTTTAGTGTAAATGTTTGAAAAATCGGTTTTTTGCCTGTGAGGCGGTTTTAGGCGGTCTGAGGCGGTCCGAGGCGGTCAAACCTTTAAGGCGCGTCAAACTCGGTGGCAAAAATCGGTTAAAAATTGGTTTTTTTTTCTTTCTCTTTTTATAATTCAAAATAAAAGTTGGATTTTAATTAAAAAATATATGAGTTTATGCCTTATTTTGTTTATGTTAATTGTTATTGTTAAAGGACTAATGATGTATGCCAAGAATGTTCAAGAATAAATGTAAATTCAAAAAAATTGTTTTTTAATTTATATTTTATAAGGATATTTATGTATTATGATCTTATAATTATTAAACTTTTATTATGTTATTAGGATATATACATGATGGAGATATAACTATGTTTAAATATCTTCTTATATGTGTTTGGAGTATTTATAAATAATATTAAGATATATTATATTAAATTTTAAAAACCGATTTATTTCCGATTTATCACCGCCGCACCGATTAATCGTGAGTCGGTGCCTGACCGACTCGGACCCGATTACCGATTTTTACAACCTTGGTTGTAAGGGTGGCTTCATCAACCGTTGATCATAAAGTAATATTGTTGGCTCGATAAATTGTGGACGATTGACTAATCACTATCCGTAGGCGGCCCATGTTCGGTGCTCGATCAGCGAATTCATCCCGAAACTATAACCAACAAATAAAAAAAACAATGGAATTAGTAATATACTTTAATCTTATATGTAAAAGAAAGAAACGCTTGGCAACCCTAAAAAATTCTAATGGTATTTTTGTAATTTATTTATTTTTAATATTTTTTCGGTACTAATTTTCAACAATTATATCTCCTATTTTTCATCAATATATCTCAAATTATAATAGATAAAGATAGAAATTCGATTTGTTAAATCTAAACCTATATATTTGGATTATAAATCTTAATATGTAAGATTTAAAAAAACTAATGTTACATAAAATATGAATAATGCTACATTATTAAATATTACTAGGGGTTGTCTAGGGTCCGAGAGGGCTGTACTTCTCGGACCGTAAAATATTTAATCTTGTACGTCCAAATTAACTAATTTTTAATCTCATCCATTGATTTTTTTGTACGATCTAGTACGACACTAAATTAGAAAATTAAAAGTACGAACCCAGTAATAACACATCGTACACCATTGTACACACATCGTACACCATGTGAATTACTTAATTAACCTTATAAATTTTAAATTAAAATATCTATTAAGAAATATTATAGTAATCATAATTAATTATCAAAATTACACGTTAAATAAATCAAAACCTCACAGATGTTCTTCCCCAAAATCAAAATCCCTAACTTGACAAGGAGCAGATCGAGAAACGCCATCAAGCATATCACATTCCTCACCTTCATCTCGCCGTGGAAGTTACGAAAGCATTTATTTTCTGGCTGTAAGTGGTTATATTCTGGCTGCTGAATCAAACTCGTCAACTTTGAGCACCCCACCTCTCTAATAATCTTCTCGCCGATAAATCAAAGACGATTTCTTCGTACTTTGAAACTTTAGATTGGTTGAAGGCTGAAGCACTCCACTTGTTCGATGAAATGCCTCTTAAAGACATAGTCATCTTACTTTGATGATTTACCGTTGCGGTCGATTGCGAAAATCTGGATACGGGTTGGAGGCTATTTAACGAAATGCCCAAAAATAATGCCATATCACGTGGGTCGACCCATATCCTCCTATTGAAGAAGAATTAAGTATTGTGTGGTATAATGCTAAAGTTTTGATTTTTTTTTGAGTAGGTTTTGAATTTTTAGTTTCTCGTGGTGGAATGATTGAATCTGTACCATTTATTTTGGTGTCGTTTGACAAATTAAAATTTCATTTTGGTTCTGACTTCTGAATTGTTCTGATTCTCTTTGTTTACTTGGATTATGCTTGAACACGTCTTGCTAATGATGCCAATGCATCAAAGAAAGGAGGTGAGAGACAATTCAATGATTTGGCTTTGTTGGTCTCTACCGTGGATTTATTGTGTTACGTGGATTGTACTTTGGTATCTATGATTATTCGAAGCTGGTGCTCCTAACTGAATCGCTGCAAGATAGTATTTCACTTTATGAAGCAACTAGCTTTCGATCTTCTTGAGTTGCTGCTCCAGTCTGCAATTTTTAAGTCGATGCTCCTTACTGGATTGATGTAGATAATTTATTTTTATGAAGTAGTTGTCAGCTAGCTTTTAATCCTTGTGCGCTGTTGTTCTTGTTCGCATTTATTACGCTTGATTTTGTTTTCTCTCTTATAAAGTCGATTTAGACCCGACGCCGTATACTAATGCAACCATTTTGTGTATTCCAGAGCCGTATTTTCTGTTCATGTGATGCAATCCAATTGTAATGCAGCCATTTTCCATATTACAGTGTTAATTTCCGTGTTAATGCGCTTGCATTACTGAAAAGACAAGATGAAAGGCGAATGAGGACTATCTCAAGATTTTTTTTGATTCTCGTATTTTGTTCGATTTTAAGAATATTAGCGGTAAATTATTGGTTGGAGCTAATCCGGTTTTGCATTTCTATAACGTTGTGAATTTAAGAAAGGGAACTTCAAGTGCAGGCCACTTGGTCGGCGCCAATCCTTAGCCCCGTAGAGAGATGCCTATCGTTTTTAGTTTCATTATGTACATGAAGAAGAGCATGACGAAAATCTTGAGTTGCAAGTTAAGGAGATGAAATTAATTGATGTTAAACTCGTATATGATTTTTCTTTTTACAGTTTTCACACGTAATTAAAGAGTTCATAATTTTCCATGTTATTTTCTTATAAAATATTAACCATGAAGTAAATATACCAAGTACTTCTCATGTTTGGTCTAATATGAATCTGAACATATATGTTGTTTTCATTATTACATTCAAAAAATTGTTTGGTTAAAAGTATTAGATTATTTTTAATATGAAAAATGTTGATTTCCCAAAGAACAATAGCAGGAAAATGACAAATTAAGGTATTCAAATTGAATCTTGATCTCTTAGATGTGTTGTGCGTGCCAACATTCTCTTACAACCTTGTGTGAGAATGTGAATTGTCATCATCTGTGTTTCTCTGCAAAATAGCAAAATCTATACCGGCTCACATACAACATAGAAAATTAATATTCAAAACAATGAATAAAATTGCAGTGCAGGAGTTCATCTTATGAGCACAAAGATCCATAAGCAAGAAGAACTCAAGTACAACTTAACAGCTGCCAGATGTCCAAAATAGCTTACCTACCATTAAAGCATGAATCAATGAGGTTTGCAACCAAGCAAAGCAACTTTGAAGCAATGTGATATAAGCTGAAAACTTCTTTCCAATCAACAAATCCATCACCAAATCAAATCGTGAAGACCAAAATCAAGAATGCACCTGCACAGAAAGTAGCATCATAAGAACAAATGAATCATTTATCTACAACAAGGTAAATGCATAAAGAATAATAATTATTAAAAAAAAAAAGAAAAAAAAAACCTCACGAATTATGCTCAGAGTTCGATATGTTTCCATCTGACCACAAAATAAAGGGTACTAATTGTTAGGACGGCCATCATTTTTTTGTTTCAAATTTATGCATATAGGGAAGAAAGGAACAGGGAATTTGAGACATATTTGAAATCAATAAAAGAACAGGGAATTTGAAGATAGATTTGAAATCAATATGGTTTTCGAATTATAAATTTACACTTTTAAATAAAACGATGATGATTGGGACTTGGGAGAGGCGTAGGGAAAAATATAAACTCGTCTCAAAGAATCAATATTTTGAACTAATTTGAAAATGTTACCCACGAAATTTTTGCTACCAGATAAGGGTTCTTGATTTGATGACGGGAGAAGGATTTCTGTAGAAGATGGATATTTTAGTTTATTGATTTATGATAATTATTTTTCTGTCGTCAAATTAAAGTAATTAATTTATTAAGTATGAATTTAAAATTAATTTTCAAATCTGAACTAAAATGGGCTTTTATGTAATTTTATATGTAACCCATGTATCGTACTTTTATTTACTGGGTTTGTACTTATCTTATGTGGCGCAATTTTATTGGAAGATTACGGTCCGAGAAGTACAACCCTCTCGGACCCTAGACAACCCCATATTACTATGTTAATGTACTATATTTTCTTATTATGTATTAAATTGATTTTGTTTTTTCACTTTTAACATAATTCCTGTGCATCGCACAGAGAAAAAATGCTAGTTAATAAGAAAAAAAAAAATTAATAAAAAATACTTATGCATATATTAATATACCTTGCAAGCAATAGAACAAAATGGTTCTTGTATCTTTGTACATGTTGGACACCTCTCTCCATCCGATTTAGGTTGTTTGAGGTGCAAAATCGGCTTGTGATTAATTGTGTATACTCGAATTCCCTTGGTCTCCAATAATTTTTTGATGCGGCGAACTTTGATCGTTGCTCTAAATATAGCTCACCTAGGGTGGTGTAGAAAATGAACTGGGAGAGCAAAGCGGATCAGTAGCTTGACAACTTGATGATCCTGAGGTCCCTGCGAAATGAACACACGTGAACTACGCCGGGGGTTGATCCGGCGGAAACCCCTCCGACGCTCAAGTCAGATATACGGATTGCGGAGATGGTAGAGAGAATCAAACTCTAGCTTGTTGATGAATAATCAAAACGTACCTTAACAAATGAGTCAAACATCTATTTATATATCGGTGATTGGGTTGGGCTTACTTTGTTCGGCCCAAACCTTACTTTGAAGGTGTTTGGGCTTTCGTGTAGTGGGCCTAATTAGTAGATAAATTAGAGGGCCCATTGGGCCGGCCTATTTAGGTATATCATTAAGCCCCTCAACTCTCGATTCGAGATGGGGACTT